TCATCTTGTCGTGGCTTCCTTCCCTATTTTTATATCACGCCTTAAACCAGGTGGTTCAAACTCAAGGCTTCATTTTCTGTTGCCCTCAAGAGCTCTGAAAGAATATGTGAGCACGTTGCCCATAAACTACATGTCCCACAATGCATCTCATTTTGTGACATGCGCACTGAAGAGACTTGCAATTATCCGCCCTAGACTTCTGCTTTCAGACGTAGTTAATCATGAAGGTATTACCCCATCTGATAATAATCCAATGCAGAGGCAATCATGTCATATTACACATTATATTATATATATTATATATTTAGATATGTATATTCATATAGTCTTAAAGTTACAACCGGCCTTTTGAGTGAACCCATGCTGCTGATGTGGCATGGAATTGAGTTTGACCCCCGTGCCTTAAACAGACATGTCTAACTCGCTTTCTTTCCCTTATCGTTGTGTTACTCTCAGGTGATGAGTTGTTTGCCTGGGGGCGATATTATGCTCAAAATAAAATAACAAACTCTTCACACACTCCTCACACACACACACACACGTAGTAACAAAGAAAAAGAGGTCTTTACAAGTCAAAACAAATCAAACAAAAGACTCGATAACTTGATAACTTTAAGGTTCATTGAACGGTTACAAACGGTTCCTCTGCGCCATCTTTCTGACAGGTTGCCCATCTGTCACTTTAGAGGAGGCGCCGTGGGAATTGTAGTCTTTTATACCCTGTTGACAGACGTCACTACTTAGCGGCCTAAAGGATTAAAAGATTCGAGGCTTCATCATCATGTGCACATTAGCCACAGCGTAGACATGGCAATGAACAACTGAAGTCACAGGCTCCTCCCACAGAGCAACATGAATATAGGACATAAAACAATAGTGCAAGTAAATACAAATAAAATAGTGCAAGAAGAGTCTATATACAATAACTGAAACATCTGGGAAAAGCTAAATGTTCTCATAAATTAAAGCAGTAGAAAAATTGTAGAATTCTGACCTAGAAATATTGAAAGTGTCCCGATTACGCTCTTTAGGGTTTCCCCTTCCCTGTGGTGTGTTCAATCCCTTTGGAATGCATGTCAACGGTCTGAGAGGCTGAAATCCCCGTGTTCCCTTCAGAGGCAGTTTCTCCTAATATTGGATATGTGGAGCTCATCATCTAGTTTTTAAGTAACTTGCAAAATAAAATAACTTATGTGTAAAATGCAATATCTTTCCACGGTGTCTCGTCTTCATCAGTGCATGCTTTCGCCCGGTGTCTCACAGTCATGTTGTTAGCTCCATAGCCTGTGAAGTCCTCTAAATGTCTCCTCTCTCAGGCGGCTGGGCGCTGAACAGGAAGGAGCTGAAACTCCTGCAGACCATCGGGAAAGGAGAGTTCGGAGGTGAGGAATTATTTCAGATCTCTGCGTTATTTAATGAGAGCAGAGGTTGCCTCGCGTCGTGTCAAATGATCACATAATCATTCAAACACATAGTCTTCTACTCTGATCGCCTCTTACTCTGTTAAAGTGTATCTTAGTCTTCTATGTGTTTAACAGAGACATCTGGATTTAGATATGAGGAGGCAAAGGAAGTGAAGGGGGTTAAGGGCGAGGGGGTTTAATGGTTTAATGATGGGATGGAGGACCCGCTGTTTCCTCATGAATATATAGACTTATGTATGAATATACATTTCACTTGTGTGTGTGTGTGTGTGTGTGTGTGTGTGTGTGTGTGTGTGTGTGTGTGTGTGTGTGTGTGTGTGTGTGTGTGTGTGTGTGTGTGTGTGTGTGTGTGTGTGTGTGTGTGTGTGTGTGTGTGTGTGTGTGTGTGTGTGTGTGTGTGTGTGTGTGTGTGTGTGTGTGTGTGTGTGTGTGTGTGTGTGTGTGTGTGTGTGTTAGATGTGATGGTGGGAGACTACAGAGGGAACAAAGTGGCGGTGAAATGCATCAAAAACGACGCCACAGCGCAGGCGTTCATCGCCGAGGCCTCCGTCATGACGTGAGATCCTCCTCTGACCTGCTGCTGTTGATAAATCAATAACACACACATCTCACACTCTAGTTTTTACTTCTCTCATATTTAGCTTGTTTTGATTTGTATTTGTTGTCTTTTAAATGTGTAAATGTCATTTGGCTCTTTGTCTCCAGGCTCTTTGAATTATAACAATAACTTTATTCATACAGCACAAAACAAAGTTACAAAGTGCTCCTAGAGATGATGTTGTTTTATAAATGAAATGTATTATTATCACCTTGCTAAATCAGTTTTAGTGTGCGCACGCAAACCTTTCTCTTTCAGATTCAAACGAGCGATATATATATTTATATTGTTTATTCTGTTGTTGACGGAGCAGAGACACCTTGATGTTTCCAGCTAACACTTGTTGTGTTGTTGTTGTTGTTGTTGTTGTTTAGGCAACTGAGGCACAACAACCTGGTGCAGCTGTTGGGGGTGATCGTGGAGGAGAGGGGAAGTCTCTACATCGTCACAGAGTACATGGCTAAGGTACGTCACATGGGGTTTTCATGAGACGTGCTTTAAAACATGTGGGAGCAATAAAACTCATCATTTCAAAAGCTGTCGTTTTCTCTTGTGTATTTATAAGATAAGAAGTTGATCCTAATTTCTGGAAATGTTTGAGTTGCAGAAACACAAAAAGACGTGGCACAATCAAAACGTGAATAGTTTGAGTGGGGGGGGGGAACGGACCTTTCCTCGTATGAACGTTTGTTAATTGCTGTGTAACCTGTTTGTTCCCCACAGGGCAGTTTAGTGGACTACCTGCGCTCCAGAGGAAGGACCGTGCTCGGGGGGGACTGCTTACTCAAGTTCTCTCTGTGAGTCTTCATCATCATCATCTTCTTATTACAGACAGACTCACTCTAGCTCTCAAACTCTGAGACTGCTTTTAGTTTTCTTTGTACTGCGTCTTTGAGCATTAGGGAAAGCGCTATACAAATCCATATCATTATTATCATAGTCGCGTTGTGAACGTTGAGTACTGCAAAGTGTTGTGTTATAAATGTGTACTGTAGGAGCAGACACAGTAGTGGTGGCTTAAAGCCCACCTCTGCTCCGCGCCGTCCGTTAGATGAGCCTGGTCAGATTTAATAAAAGGAGTTCAAAACACCGGCATAAAAGTTATAACAATAATCTGATTTTAATGGTAAAAAACACAATAGGAAATACAGAGTGCCCTGAAACAGAGCACTCCGGGCTCCCCGCTCTACTGCCGTGCGATACAGATATCGGGACCAGCCAGTCAGAAACAGGGGGCATTTTGCATGAAGGAACAACAGTATATATGGACATATTTGGGGCGGAGATGTGTCGGCTCTTCCGTCCCATTTTACTCCTAAGCGAATCAGAGAGTCCGTGGGGAGGAGTTTGGGTCGGTTGCTCACTCCCCTAGGTGTTCTTACTGGTTGGATTCACTTTGGGTCGGGCCCAATACAGCGAATCAGAGTTCAGTTATCTTACACCTGAGTTAACTCCTTTACTTTCCCAAGGAAGATTTCACACAAACTATTCCTTCCCAGACAATCAAACATTGTACACAGATATATTGGTGCTTGAGATTATATTGGCTCCAGAAAGAACCTTGAAAAGAATGTGTGTGTGTGCTGGTGGAAGGAGGTGTATGTGTGTGTAGCAGGGTATCTGGGTCATTGAGTGTAAGTGAGAAGGTTATATATATAGGATTACTTAAAACAGTCCCAAATAATACATGTTCACTTCAATACAGTTCAAGATAATACCTGTTTACTTTAATACAGTTTAGAACAATATCTGTTTACTTTAGTACTAAGGGTCTCCAGCTCATAGAAACCACCGGATGCTAACGTGCGTACTTTGGGAAATGTGCACAAGTTGAGTTGGTTAGCATTATAGACTGCAGTGTGTGGACAATAGTTTACTCTCTCTGGGCGGATTCTGATGCATTTTGGGTCGCTTTAGAAGATTTACTCGACTCTTTTGAATTGGACAAATTGCTTATTTATGGTGTTAGTAAAGAATTGTCCACATTAGAGGTAATAATGTTCATCTTGTGCAGAGAGTACGGATATGGCCTCTTTCTGACATTTGTGATCCTGAAAAGGACAGAAATGGATCCCCCAAAACCACCCTTTTTAAACTGTTTAAAAAGGGCGGTGGTGGCGAAGGCGATAGGGACTCGGCTTGGCAACTAGGAAGGTCACCAGTTCAAGTCCCGGCAAGACCAAGTGCTACCGAGGTGTCCCTGAGCAAGGCACCGTTCCCCACACTGCTCCCCGGGCGCCGTTCAAAATGGCAGCCCACTGCTCCTAACACAGGATGGGTCAAATGCAGAGAAACAATTTCCCCACGAGGATTAATAAAAGTCTTAATTAGTTGTCTGCATGGGCTATGATGCTATTCAGTGCAACATATGCAGGTTAGCTTCCTGCAGTTTCTATGTGCTGGGGATCTAGACTGTACATTTCTGTCATAAAACTGAGGCGAACTGAACATCTCCAGCTCACATCGCTGCCAACGAGACGATTAGACTTTCAGAAAAGACAAACATGAGTCATGAATCTGCTGCTCAGACGCAGAATGAAAGAGAGCTTTGTTTCCAGCTGAACTCTAAATGGATGCTTTTAAAGTCTTGATTTCTAACACGCTGTAACTCAGCAGCCGGTACGTACGTGGAAACACTCCTTTACTCAAGAAAAGGAAATATTTCGTGATTCATTTCCAGTGTGTCAGGCTCGAATGAGCATTAGAGATGAGCAAGGGGTTAGATTTGAACCCTGAAGCAAGGAGAGGATAAAGACATGAATATGCAGCCTGGTTTTTAACCTCCTTGTTCGAGTGATTATTATATTTCCACTGCATTCAACTTAAAGTGGAGTCTGGATGTTTTAAAGTGGGTTTGCATGAAGTTCCTATCCATAGTCACAGTTATTCAGTGGAGTAATATAACTAAGTACAACATGGAGGTACTTGTACCTGAGTATTTTCACTTAATACTTTTACCCCACTACATTTATTTGACACATCAAGTTACTTTGCATATTTATGATATTACAAAATATCAATCGACACATTATCATATATTATTATAGGTTAACAGCAGTGCATCAAGTTACACACGCCAGGGCTTCCGCTAGGGGTTTTTCTTGCCGATCAAGTGTCTGGAAATAATTTATTTTACCGGACAAATTCGAAACGTACCGGTCATGTTTCAATAAGAAGAAGAAGAAGAATTGTGTAGCAGAGTTTCCGTAATTACCGGATATGCTGATGTTTAAAACTCAGTTCATGGGGCTCATTTTGATATGAGAGGATGATAAATACATGGATCCTGAGATTGAAGCTCAAGCCGGTGACGTATTCAGAAAAAGCCAGAATTTTGAGAGAAAGTCAGAATTTTGAGATTTAAGTTGTTTTGAATTCAGTCCGAATTTTTCGATTTTGAGAAAAAAAATCAGGATTTTGAGAGAAAAGTAAGAATTTTGAGAGGAAACACAACATTTTGAGTAAAAAGTCAGTATTGTGTTCATGACAGGATGTATGATTACTTACAAGAACCGGTATTCCTCCATCTTGTGACTGTAACTCCCTCTCTTGGATATCAGCATGTGAAGGACACTGTTCAGGAACTAGTTGATGCTCTGTATGTGATGACTCCTTCCATTCTGGAGAGGATCACAGATACATGGATCCTGAGACTGAAGCTCAAGCCGGGGCCAGGGATATTGTTCTAACTCTTATAATCTCCCCCCCCTCCCCTCTGTCTCTTCAGTGATGTGTGTGAGGCCATGGAGTATCTGGAGAACAACAACTTCGTGCACAGAGACCTGGCGGCTCGAAACGTTCTGGTTTCTGACGACAACATCGCTAAAGTCAGCGACTTCGGACTCACCAAGGAGGCGTCGTCCATCCAGGACACCGGAAAACTGCCCGTCAAGTGGACCTCCCCCGAAGCCATCAGGGAGAAGGTGAGATACACGGGGTAATGTCCTGGTGCTTCCCGGGTGATTGTTTTGACTTAGTTTTGCTTGGGAAGCAGCTTAAGCAAGTAGGAGGTCTTAAAGGTCTCCTATTATACAATTGTTAGGCATATATTCAGGGTTCTTACGGTCATTCAAAACCTGGAAAAGTCATGGAAATTCTAAATGCAAATTCCAGGTCCTGGAAAAGTTATGGAAAACAATATTTTTCCCAAAGTTTTGGAAAAGTCATGGAAATGTAACTCAAATATAATTTATATTTTAGCTAATCGCCGAAATAGTATTACTATAATGATAATAAATACCGTATCGTATAGTAATGAAATGTAAAATGGCATTTAACTGATGAGGTATTTTGCTGGTGAGAGATTTTAGTCGCTTTATCTATAGAAGCTAGTAAGCCTATTTGATTTGTTTTAGTAAGGCACAACATGTTTCAGACCTTATTTTCCTGTTCCATGTTAAAATAAACCATTTTCAGTGGTACCGCTGAGAAAGAGTAATTTTTTTGGTCCTGGAAAATCAGGTAAAGGTCCTGGAAAATCAGGTAAAGGTCCTGGAAAATCATTGAAAATCATTGGTGAAAAAGTGTATGAACCCTGTATATTATAGCTCTCAGATATATACAAATATATATAAAAACATATCTATGAAGTGTTTTGCTCAAAAGACCAAACAGATCATGCATTCTAGCCTCACCCCCCTCTAGTTCAGCCCTGTTACTAAAGTGCTGATTCTGGGTCAGTAGCTTTAAAGAAAAACAAAAAAAAACGCTGTGAGTTCCCCGACACACCGGGAGCACGTATTCAGTGGCGGACTGGCCATCGGGCCGGTCGGATAAGTCACTAGCGCCCCTGCACATGTTCATGTATAAAAGACATTAAGAAGTGCATTTTGCATGATAGGAGACCTTTAAGTAGAGACAAAGTACACAAAGTACATGTTCTGCCGAAGTTGAAATCATACGTATATCCAAGAGACACGGAGAAAACCTGCCGTGTTCTGCGAGGTCAAGCGACAGTTTTCTTTAGCATGGAGGCTTAGTAACTCAGACTAACTTCAGTTTCCCTGTCAGGAAAAGCGGTGAAAGAACTCTTAATATATCGTACTTTAACTGATACTTTTTAACAGATGCGATCAGTTTTCTTCTGCCAGCGTTCAGACCTACCCTCTTCTTGGTCTCTGCAGTTTGTGAGGCCTTGCTCCAAACAGCCCGTCAAGCGGACTTTAAAGATTTACATTTTCTGCTGAAGTTGAATTATATCAAGCAAGAAAAGCTAAAAACAGCACATGGCTGAGCATCGAAACTGCACATGACCTGGACAACAGGTCTAGATATCCGTGTGAATATTTATTATGGTGTGTATCCGTTTCTCTCACAAGATGAACTCAGATATATTGTATTCCTTCTCTTAATGTCTCTGAACATTTAGAGATATCTCTGTTGTCACACCGTGTTTCCTCACCTGACCTCTGAAGTAAAGTAACCACCAAAGAGCAGCGCTGTAACTTAGTACATTACTTAAGAAGCGTACAATTTCACATACTTGAGTATATATTACACGCTTCCTTATACTATAGAGCAGGGGTGTCAAACTCAATTTCATCACGGGCCACATCAGCATTATGGTTGTACTCAAAGGGCCGGTTGTAACTTTAAGACTATATGAAAATACATAATATGCTTAATGTATGTATTATTATATTACATATATGACATCATTGCCTCTGCATTGGATTATTATCGGATAGGGTAATAACTTCATAATTAATTACGTCTGAAAGCAGAAGTCTAGTGCAAATAATTGCAAGTCTCTTCAGTGAGAATGTCACAAAATGATTTAAAAGAAAAGCCACATTCAAAGTGACATTTTGGGGAAAAAAGTTACATTTTTTAAAAATGTGACATTTTGAAAAAAAATAATCTAATTCTGAGAAAAAAGTCAAATTTGAGATGCATTGTGGGACATGTAGTTTATGGGCAACGTGCTTCTGTAAAGTGGCATGTAACCGTATAATAAATATTCTATTCTTTGCAAGCTCTTGTGGGGCCACAGAAAATGAAGTCGCGGCCCGGATTTGGCCCCCGGGCCTTGAGTTTGACACCCCTGCTCTAGAGGGAGTATTGTACTATTGACACTATGGCAAAAATCATAATCTCGATTATTTGGGTCAATAATTGTAATTGCGATTATTCATTGACTTTGAAAACATCCATTTATTGGAAAGAAAAAATGTAACAGTATGTTTTTAACAGTTGATTACCCTGAACGTTAAGAATAACTCAACTGAAAAACCAATTTAAATTACGTTGTTTTCGTAATCGTTGCAAGCCATAATCGTAATCGCGATTTAAAATACGATTTAAAATACGATTAATTGAGCAGCCCTAATTGACACTACTAAAACTGCAGTATAAGATGAAATACTTTTTCTGTGTACAAAGACGTATTCGTGTGTAATTTGCTTATAGGATATAATGTGGTACTTAAGTACTACGCAGCAGAATACAAAGTACCCAGACTCTGACCCACTTTGATAAACCACCACATTAAAAGCTATATTCTTATATACTTTGAAAAAAGAGCCTTTCATTTGTAATAAATCATGTTTTGTGGATAATACTTCTGGAGTTTCACTTAAAGAGTTTTACATCTGGAATCTTCCTTGTGAGGGAATAAGGTGTTTCTACTTGTACTGCTTTATGTATTTATCTGATCACAAAGCTAGGAGAACACCTGAGTTGATAAAGACTCATGGAGGACCTGCTTTGCTCTCTGAATGAATATCTGATTTGTGAATTCTGTCCTCCCTTTTTTTCTGTTCTCCAGAGGTTTTCCACCAAGTCTGACGTCTGGAGTTACGGGATCTTACTTTGGGAGATTTACTCCTTTGGGCGCGTGCCTTACCCCAGAATTGTGAGTACCTGAACGCACCATCACAGCTTTTAACCTCTAGAGAAAGGGTTAGTGTTTAGGTGGAAGAGGGGACTAACACTGCTATTAATGGTTTGGAACGAAGGATAGAAGGAAGGATGCAATATTATACAGTCATTAAAGAACAAACTGTATATTTGAGCTTTTCCTCAAAGCACTACAACGTCTAATGTTGGGGAATGTTCGGTTGTGTTTGTGTAATGTGATAAATGTAGAAACATCAATAAATACATGTTTAAATAATAATAATATAATGAATGATCATTACACTCAATGGGGCCACTAGTACTTTTACTTTGAGTACGCTAATGCTCACACACTTAACCTCTTAAGGGCCCTTTTTTATGTAGTAATACATGTTTTAAAGAGTACTCTTACTTGGAGAGGTCCCGTGGTGCCCTTGAGCAAGGCACCGGACACCCCCCTTCCCCCCTGGTGCTAAATTCCTGGTGCTAGACTCCTAGTACTCCTGGTGCCAGACTCCTGGTGCCAGACTCCTGGTGCCAGACTCCTGGTGCCAGACTCCTGGTGCCAGACTCCTGCTTCTAGACTCCTGGTGCCAGACTCCTGGTGCCAGACTCCTGGTGCCAGACTCCTGGTGCCAGACTCCTGCTTCTAGACTCCTGGTGCCAGACTCCTGGTGCCAGACTCCTGCTTCTAGACTCCTGGTGCCAGACTCCTGGTGCCAGACTCCTGCTTCTAGACTCCTGGTGCTAGACTCCTGGTGCCAGACTCCTGGTGCCAGACTCCTGCTTCTAGACTCCTGCTTCTAGACTCCTGGTGCCAGACTCCTGGTGCCAGACTCCTGGTGCTAGACTCCTGGTGCCAGACTCCTGGTGCCAGACTCCTGGTGCCAGACTCCTGCTTCTAGACTCCTGGTGCTAGACTCCTGGTGCCAGACTCCTGGTGCCAGACTCCTGGTGCCAGACTCCTGGTGCCAGACTCCTGGTGCCAGACTCCTGCTTCTAGACTCCTGCTTCTAGACTCCTGGTGCCAGACTCCTGGTGCCAGACTCCTGGTGCCAGACTCCTGGTGCTAGACTCCTGGTGCCAGACTCCTGGTGCCAGACTCCTGCTTCTTGACTCCTGGTGCCAGACTCCTGGTGCTAGACTCCTGGTGCCAGACTCCTGGTGCCAGACTCCTGGTGCTAGACTCCTAGTACTCCTGGTGCCAGACTCCTGGTGCTAGACTCCTGGTGCCAGACTCCTGGTGCCAGACTCCTGGTGCCAGACTCCTGGTGCCAGACTCCTGGTGCTAGACTCCTAGTGCTAGACTCCTAGTGCTAGACTACTAGTGCTAGACTCCTAGTGCTAGATTCCTGGTGCTAGACTCCTAGTGCTAGACTCCTAGTGCTAGACTCCTAGTGCTAGATTCCTGGTGCTAGGATTGGTTAAAGCAGAGAACACATGTCACTGTGTGCTGTCTGCATGTGAGACCTTTACAAAGGGGTTCATCCCTCCCAATATATATAATAAAGGGATTATGCTATTTAATTTCAAACGTGCTCCACCAGCAGAGGGCAGACTCCCTTTATTCTGCACTGGTTTACTGAACTGTGTTTTTAAATAATGACACCGCTGGAGCAGGAGAGGGACATGTGAAACTTTGTCTTCATGCTTAACTTCTCCTTGGATTCACTTGATTAGTTATTTGTTGTCGACTGTTTTTTTAATAACGCTTATATTTATAGTTGGCTCGGGCTTGATCCGTCTGTATTTTGTATCTCTCTCTCTCTCCGTCACTCTTATCTGATCCGTCTGTATTTTGTATCTCTCTCTCTCCGTCACTCTTATCTGACCCGTCTGTATTTTGTCTCTCTCCCCAGCCTCTGAAGGAGGTGGTGCCCCGGGTGGAGAAGGGATACAAAATGGACGCCCCTGACGGCTGCCCCCCGGTGGTTTATGACCTGATGAAGCAGTGCTGGACCCTGGACTCTGTGGTGCGGCCATCTTTCCACATGCTGAGGGACAAACTGCAGCACATCAGAGCCAAGGAGCTGTACCTGTGAGGGGGGGGGGGGGCAAGAAGAATTTACACAATTACCATCATAGACTTATGTGGATAATTGGACAATTTGGACAATTTTTGAGTGGTTTTGCGAGTTATTGAGGACATGTTCAGGATCATAAATGGCCAAGGAGCTCTACTAGCCACTTTGTGAACCCGGAAATGTTAAGTACCCCAAAGTTTTATCTTAGGGTCTCCAGCACATAGAAACTGCCGGATGCTAACCTGCATATGTTGGGCAATTAGCATCATAGACTTATATGGAACAATTGGACAATTTTGGAGTGGGTTAGGAGGTTATTGTGGATGCTGAAGAGGAGGAAGAGGAGGAGGAAGCGGGACCACAACATCTTCCTCCCCCCTGACCTCCGCCCACGAGGACTGTTTCCCGTTTGTGTCGTAAAGCTCCTCCCTCTTTATAGTCTACTTGCCACTTTGTGAACTCTGAGATGTTGAGTACCCCAAAGTGTTATGTTAGGAATGAGAGTAGGGGTCTCCAGCGCATAGAAACTACATTTAGAGTACAATAACCCACAAAACCACTAATAATAATAATAATGACCAAATCTGTAAAACCATTTTTTAACTATAGTCCACATCAAGTTCTAATCGATGCTAATTCACACACAAACTGCAGGTTAGCATCCGGCAGTTTCTATGAGCTGGGGACCCTCCTAAACGTTTATATCATTACACTTTGGGGTCTTCGACATCTCCAGGTTCAGGACTCTAGGACCTGGAAACAAACCTGCCGTCTCTCTTTTGGTCCAAGTTTCTCCTCCGCCTCTTTTCGTTCCTCCTCTCCTGAACTCGGCATTATACCTGGAGAGGCTGGGCCTTTTCTTCCTCCTCTCATCTTCGTCATCATTCCTGGATCTCTGCATGAATCCTTCCCCCAGGTTTGTGTCAGATGTGGGGCTTTAAATCTGAGAAAAGTGCCTCCAGAGCTCCAGGATCTGCTCCTCCACCTGGACTGCTTTTTTTGGGTTTTTTTAATTGTTTTTTTTTACGGAAATCTTTTTTATTGCTTTCCTTTTTTTTCAGGGAGGATATCATTTTTATTTTTTATTTTAACCGTCTCCTCCTCCTCAATGTCCACCATCAGAGACTGGGATTTTTTGTTATCCATGAAGAGGAACGGGTAAGGAGAGGCGGGACAATAACGAACATGAAAGGTTTTTGGGGGGGTTTAGAGGCAGTTCCCAAACACTCATCATACGTGGGCTTGTTTTTATATCAAAATGTATTTAAAGGATTAAAAAAAAAGACAAAAAAAGGGGGGAGGGTGGGAGGGGGGGTGGGAGGGAGGGGGGGTGCATGCTGTGTTTGAGAGGCCTTGGGTTCAAACTGTCAGTGCTTTTAATGTGTTCATTGTTTTATTATGCTACCATGATTACAAATAAATCATTCCATCTGAACAGCGTGCAAACACCTGCATCCTTACTGTGTGTGTGTGTGTGTGTGTGTGTGTGTGTGTGTGTGTGTGTGTGTGTGTGTGTGTGTGTGTGTGTGTGTGTGTGTGTGTGTGTGTGTGTGTGTGTGTGTGTGTGTGTGTGTGTGTGTGTGTGTGTGTGTGTGTGTGTGTGTGTGTGTGTGTGTGTGTGTGTGTGTGTGTGTGTGTGTCATCCAGTTCAACATATGGCATCTCCTCTACAGTGGATTCTCTCAGCAGAGCTCAGGCCACAGTGTGATGTTAAATATTAGGAATATATATTCATAGTTAAGTTAATCGTATTTAGTTCAAGGCGAGACACGACGTACACCGGTCAGTTTGAGACTCATTACACATTTAGATGTTTATTTTACTAAAGACTTCTCTTAAATTCAACAAAAGTAAACCTGTCTTATTTGCATATTCGAACATAACACTTCAAAAACTTGTAATAATAAACATAATTGTCTTAATGTAAAGTTTCATGTTGATAGTTAAAAGTGTTTTACCTGTAGTGTTAAAATGTATGGACTTTTACAATGCATATCTTTTAAAGGTGGTTTTCTCTAAACGAGTTTTACATTTTTGGATTTTACATACATCGAACTTTGCATTTTCATATTCTGGGATTGTGTTTTTATACCATAGTCGGATTTATTCAAAACTTTATAGCCAAAAAAATGTTTTTGAAGCCTTTAAATAATATTTATTTAGTTGTTATTCTACTGATAAACAAACCTGAACATCAGCAGGAGAGGACTCTTTAAAGTAGAGACACGACATACTGATATACACCTGAACATCAGCAGGAGAGGACTCTTTAAAGTAGAGACACGACATACTGATATACACCTGAACATCAGCAGGAGAGGACTCTTTAAAGTAGAGACACTACATACTGATATACACCTGAACATCAGCAGGAGAGGACTCTTTAAAGTAGAGACACTACATACTGATATACACCTGAACATCAGCAGGAGAGGACTCTTTAAAGTAGAGACACTACATACTGATATACACCTGAACATCAGCAGGAGAGGACTCTTTAAAGTAGAGAGACTACATACTGATATACACCTGATCATCAGCAGGAGAGGACTCTTTAAAGTAGAGACACGACATACTGATATACACCTGAACATCAGCAGGAGAGGACTCTTTCAAGTAGAGACACTACATACTGATATACACCTGAACATCAGCAGGAGAGGACTCTTTAAAGTAGAGAGACTACATACTGATATACACCTGATCATCAGCAGGAGAGGACTCTTTAAAGTAGAGACACGACATACTGATATACACCTGAACATCAGCAGGAGAGGACTCTTTAAAGTAGAGACACTACATACTGATATACACCTGAACATCAGCAGGAGAGGACTCTTTAAAGTAGAGACACTACATACTGATATACACCTGAACATCAGGAGAGGACTCTTTAAAGTAGAGACACGACATACTGATATACACCTGAACATCAGCAGGAGAGGACTCTTTAAAGTAGAGACTCTACATACTGATATACACCTGAACATCAGCAGGAGAGGACTCTTTAAAGTAGAGACACTACATACTGATATACACCTGAACATCAGCAGGAGAGGACTCTTTAAAGTAGAGACACTACATACTGATATACACCTGAACATCAGCAGGAGAGGACTCTTTAAAGTAGAGACACTACATACTGATATACACCTGAACATCAGCAGGAGAGGACTCTTTCAAGTAGAGACACTACATACTGATATACACCTGAACATCAGCAGGAGAGGACTCTTTAAAGTAGAGAGACTACATACTGATATACACCTGATCATCAGCAGGAGAGGACTCTTTAAAGTAGAGACACGACATACTGATATACACCTGAACATCAGCAGGAGAGGACTCTTTCAAGTAGAGACACTACATACTGATATACACCTGAACATCAGCAGGAGAGGACTCTTTAAAGTAGAGAGACTACATACTGATATACACCTGATCATCAGCAGGAGAGGACTCTTTAAAGTAGAGACACGACATACTGATATACACCTGAACATCAGCAGGAGAGGACTCTTTCAAGTAGAGACACTACATACTGATATACACCTGAACATCAGCAGGAGAGGACTCTTTAAAGTAGAGACACTACATACTGATATACACCTGAACATCAGCAGGAGAGAACTCTTTAAAGTAGAGAGACTACATACTGATATACACCTGATCATCAGCAGGAGAGGACTCTTTAAAGTAGAGACACGACATACTGATATACACCTGAACATCAGCAGGAGAGGACTCTTTCAAGTAGAGACACTACATACTGATATACACCTGAACATCAGCAGGAGAGGACTCTTTAAAGTAGAGACACGACATACTGATATACACCTGAACATCAGCAGGAGAGGACTCTTTAAAGTAGAGACACTACATACTGATATACACCTGAACATCAGGAGAGGACTCTTTAAAGTAGAGACACGACATACTGATATACACCTGAACATCAGCAGGAGAGGACTCTTTAAAGTAGAGACACTACATACTGATATACACCTGAACATCAGCAGGAGAGGACTCTTTAAAGTAGAGACACTACATACTGATATACACCTGAACATCAGGAGAGGACTCTTTAAAGTAGAGACACGACATACTGATATACACCTGAACATCAGCAGGAGAGGACTCTTTAAAGTAGAGACTCTACATACTGATATACACCTGAACATCAGCAGGAGAGGACTCTTTAAAGTAGAGACACTACATACTGATATACACCTGAACATCAGCAGGAGAGGACTCTTTAAAGTAGAGACACTACATACTGATATACACCTGAACATCAGGAGAGGACTCTTTAAAGTAGAGACACAACATACTGATATACACCTGAACATCAGCAGGAGAGGACTCTTTAAAGTAGAGACACTACATACTGATATACACCTGAACATCAGCAGGAGAGGACTCTTTAAAGTAGAGACACTACATACTGATATACACCTGAACATCAGCAGGAGAGGACTCTTTAAAGTAGAGAGACTACATACTGATATACACCTGATCATCAGCAGGAGAGGACTCTTTAAAGTAGAGACACGACATACTGATATACACCTGAACATCAGCAGGAGAGGACTCTTTCAAGTAGAGACACTACATACTGATATACACCTGAACATCAGCAGGAGAGGACTCTTTAAAGTAGAGAGACTACATACTGATATACACCTGAACATCAGCAGGAGAGGACTCTTTAAAGTAGAGACACGACATACTGATATACACCTGAACATCAGCAGGAGAGGACTCTTTCAAGTAGAGACACTACATACTGATATACACCTGAACATCAGCAGGAGAGGACTCTTTAAAGTAGAGACACTACATACTGATATACACCTGAACATCAGCAGGAGAGAACTCTTTAAAGTAGAGAGACTACATACTGATATACACCTGATCATCAGCAGGAGAGGACTCTTTAAAGTAGAGACACGACATACTGATATACACCTGAACATCAGCAGGAGAGGACTCTTTCAAGTAGAGACACTACATACTGATATACACCTGAACATCAGCAGGAGAGGACTCTTTAAAGTAGAGACACGACATACTGATATACACCTGAACATCAGCAGGAGAGGACTCTTTAAAGTAGAGACACTACATACTGATATACACCTGAACATCAGGAGGGGACTCTTTAAAGTAGAGACACGACATACTGATATACACCTGAACATCAGCAGGAGGAGGACTCTTTAAAGTAGAGACACTACATACTGATATACACCTGAACATCAGCAGGAGAGGACTCTTTAAAGTAGAGACACTACATACTGATATACACCTGAACATCAGGAGAGGACTCTTTAAAGTAGAGACACGACATACTGATATACACCTGAACATCAGCAGGAGAGGACTCTTTAAAGTAGAGACTCTACATACTGATATACACCTGAACATCAGCAGGAGAGGACTCTTTAAAGTAGAGACACTACATACTGATATACACCTGAACATCAGCAGGAGAGGACTCTTTAAAGTAGAGACACTACATACTGATATACACCTGAACATCAGGAGAGGACTCTTTAAAGTAGAGACACAACATACTGATATACACCTGAACATCAGCAGGAGAGGACTCTTTAAAGTAGAGACTCTACATACTGATATACACCTGAACATCAGCAGGAGAGGACTCTTTAAAGTAGAGACACTACATACTGATATACACCTGAACATCAGCAGGAGAGGACTCTTTAAAGTAGAGACACTACATACTGATATACACCTTAACATCAGCCAGAGAGGACTCTTTAAAGTAGAGACACTACATACTGATATACACCTGAACATCAGCAGGAGAGGACTCTTTAAAGTAGAGACACTACATACTGATATACACCTGAACATCAGCAGGAGAGGACTCTTTAAAGTAGAGACACTACATACTGATATATACCTGAACATCAGCAGGAGAGGACTCTTTAAAGTAGAGACACGACATACTGATATACACCTGAACATCAGGAGAGGACTCTTTAAAGTAGAGACACTAGATACTGATATACACCTGAACATCAGCAGGAGAGGACTCTTTAAAGTAGAGACACTACATACTGATATACACCTGAACATCAGCAGGAGAGGACTCTTTAAAGTAGAGACACTACATACTGATATACACCTGAACATCAGCAGGAGAGGACTCTTTAAAGTAGAGACACTACATACTGATATACACCTGAACATCAGCAGGAGAGGACTCTTTAAAGTAGAGACACTACATACTGATATACACCTGAACATCAGCAGGAGAGGACTCT